TTTAGTTTAGTTTGTATTTATTTGCATTTTTACCTTCGTCGCATTACGATTCGCATAGTTCACACAGGCATTGTGACTCTGGTTCAACCACTGAAGACAAAGGAAGGGAGGACATGAGGGAAGAGCCGGGCTTAAAGGATGAGCGAGTAGTGTTCAACAGAGCAGCAGCACTTTATTTACAGTGTCCCAGTGTATAACAGGCGGTAAAGCTTTGCATGTACCCAGTAAAAGTGCACTTACCAGATGTTCAAATGGACAATAAATGCAATGATTTACAAGAAGCATGTTATTTACAGTACCTGCCATATAATGGTAGACACCACAGTCTGATTTGGGAGAAGAAGGCCAATGACCTAGATGAAATCAGGGAATAGGAGCTTATTTCTGGACAAAATAAGTTCAAAATCTCCTTTCATCTGTCCCCAAATTTGACCGTGTTCATGGACATCTGCACATCTAAGTACAGTTCTATGAAATGCATGGCTTTCATATGTGACTTACAATCGGTGTTCCAAATGGTACATAACCTGCACGGTGAAAACATGATTTCAGTGTAGACAATGATGATACAATGGATCAACAAGTTCAGCAAAGATCTTCATCTGAGGCCGTACCTGACATTCGAAATGGCATGAAGATCTTCTCTCCTGTGTCAGGATGAATGATGGCCTGCGTGCAGAGAGCATGAAAGCTTCCTCATGCCGCCAGCAGCCCAGAGACTCGAATGTATGAAAGGGCAGAAAACGTGGGCCGACTTATAATACTTACCTGTTTGATCTTCTGTGCTTCCCACAGCTGAACATGTGAGCAATGCAATAAAACAAAAGAACTATAATTAAATATTAAGTAGGAACAGATTGTGTAATATTATGTCGTAACAGTCACCTGAACGTCAGACACTCCAGGTGGAAGTGCGCCATGTTTGTAGTCATCGAGGAGTTTGATGCATTCTTTTAGCCGTTTCTGTCAAAATTGGAACAAGAATGAAATGATCCTTTTGCAGGAACAAGATTGTGTAGAATATAGAGTTCTGTATTACTGCAGAGCTATACCTTAACTTAACATATATAAACAAGTTTATCCACATTACAGCACCTTTCCATCTATAAATACACTTGAACATCACTTTGCATTTGACAGGAAAATATTTAAGACGGCAAAAAAAAGCTTTAGCTTGTAATTAATTTGGAATTTTAACAATTATTTGTTGTTATAAGAAACCTATCATGTGCACATGGCATGTTTAGCAAGTTGATAGTTGAATTCTTGAGTTTTTCTTCTTGAAGAAGTCAAGCAATTACGCCACTGTGACACCTTTTGAGATGTTCAAATACAAAGCCAATCACATGCGAGGATACAGGATAATATCCTTATGTGAAAAACAGAGAGGGTGATGGACGCGACAGTCAAGTGGAGCATCCGTCTGTCCTCTCAGTGAGTGAGACAGTGGACAGCGGTGAGGAGGGCCGTGCGAGTGCATCGCAAAAACACATAAATATGCCCGACACCCGTAAACGAAGCAGCATCCGGCTGCAGTTTAAAGACTTTTTTGTCTCGTTCTCGGTCTCGTCTCGACTTTGTCTTGGTCTCGATACCCTCTGGTCTTGGTCTTGTCTTGGTTTAGGCGGTCTTGACTGGAGGTCTACCCTGAATTGGCTGATGGGTACGAAAATGATGTGAATCATATGACATGATCTTCACCATCATCCGCTCTCAGCACAGTTGAACATAAAAAGGAGATTCACTGCTAGAGACTCAGTGCCGAGTTGCAGCCTGAGTGCTGAACATCTTACAAAGAGACCTTGTTGTGTTTGTCCTTTAGTTTGACACCTGTCTGTACATCTAGATGTTTTAGAGAAAACGTTACCTCTGAGACAAACAGAGTGCTCGGGTCAATGATGTCTACAAAGTGTCTCAGTCGACCAAAGAACGAACCCTGGGAAAGACAGCATGACAGAGTTAATCCTTAAAAATAGCAGGAAAACATGTTTTCACTCAAACACACAGAACCAATTCCATTTGACTTGTTGGTGATCATAAAAACAGTTTTATCTGCCTCACAGTTACACTGAGTCAGCTTCACACCTTTTATGATGCATAACATCACACATCTGCATCCTGTTGTTTTATATTGACGGAAGAACATTTGCAAGGTCAAAACCAAGGTTCAGAAACACATGATCACATTAATCTACTTCAAAATGTCATTCACAACTTCTTTGTGTGGCAGTTTTCTTATAATCATATGGAAGGAAATAATGCTGAGATGTGTTTTAAGATTAAAGTTTGGGGGAATGCACCAGCAGTCTGCACATTTATTCCAGTAAAAGTTCCCAAGTGAGACTTGAAGCTGCTGGTCAAGCGCCCTGTTTTCTGTTCCCGTCGCTGTCTCTACATCAGCATGCCAATTGCTAAGCATGTGTGCCAGCAATCTGAAAAGGCCCAATAGGAGCCTGCGCCAAGAGTCTCTTTGGCAAACCAGACGGGTGAAAACAGGGCAGCTTCAATCAGAATCCGTCAGAGACATTTATCAGAGATGAAGGGAGGGAAACACAGCAGAATAACAGTGGAACTGACACGTCTCTATTTCCATTACCTCTCTAGCACCAGTTTCAAACTGAAATGACTGCAAACAATCTTCTGTCCTCATAAAGACCGTAGGTGTATAAATCTATCTGTATCACTGCTCTGGGTTTTCTGTCACTGCCTCGTTCCCTCATCGCATGTCTCCTCCTCTGACAGGCCATATGTGCTGCAGTGCTGTTTTGTAAGAGTGGGGCGAAGGGAGGATCTGTGTGAGGAGCCCGCGTTAATTATGCATGAGCTTCAGCTCCCTGGAGAACGCACAACAAGGCTAGCAGAGATGGAGCGCGG